ACATAATAGTTAATAACCCACTTGATTGTTCAATCTGCAGAGAATCTTCATGCTACATTTTTGAGTACTGTACATGTCTGCAAAGTGATATAGTCACTTGAAAATAATTATTGAAGGAGGAGGATTAATGGTATTTACCGGCAACAAAGTTGAGACCTTGGAATTTGTTTTAAAATTTGCAGAGATATGAGATTCTTCAAACCAAAAGGTTTGAGGGAGATTCTGTGCCTAGATCTGTACAAATGGAAATTAATGCCAATCCCAAATGGACTTGAGAGACTCATTTCTTTCTCCATTTTCACTTTCACAAGGTTAATTAAGCCAACTGTCCATAGTAAAAGTACACCAGGAAATATATGTATGTCCTCTTTCTTTAAAAAACAAACTGTTATTATTTTCATGCGGGAACTTAGCTCTGAGCTTAAGAGACAAACTTTAAAGAACAAACTGGTTTATTATAGGCTATGATAGCAATCCTATATATTTCCTTGTAATAAGGCCGGGTGATTTCAGTGAGACTTTCTTCTGCATCAGTACTACAAAATACATTTATATAATATACACTGAATCAGCCAGTTTACATGGGGAAAAAATTCACTTATAAAACAAAATATATTATGCAGCTCTGCAATAATATTGCACAAGTTATTGTAGCTAATTAGAGAAGTTCTGAATATTAAAAAGCAAGTTTATTATTAAATATCTATTAAAAGATTGAGGTTAAGCCTTTTAAACAGAGGTGGTATTTTACCAGTTCGGACAAGTTCACCCGAAACAGTAGCAGAAATAATGGTTGGCTCTGCCTACTCGCCCTGGCTCTATGGCATCCCATTTAGGGCCTTTTTTCGCCAAAAGCGCATGCACAGAAGGCATGTGCGAGCTCACATTTGCGAACCAGTAGGGAAGGTAAGTGAATACCACCTCTGCTTTTACCCGATCAATTGTCAAAGAAGCAAAACACACATTATTTATAATACACACTGGAACTTTAATCTGCTCATTTTACTAAGTTTCTATTTTTGTATTGACAAGTTACATCTTGTATATGACTGGAATGAAAAATTTGTAATCACAATAGTGTGGAGGATATTTTAAAAGGCTATTATTATTCTGCATTATATGGCAAATTTCTTATATATGTAAAACTTAATTTTGGTAAAACCTTAGTGAATATGTGGGTATGTGTACACAAAAATACAAACACAAAGAACAGACATTGAGTTGTAAGTGTCTGACAAACTAAGGATTAATTTTGTTTTAGTTTTAAGAAGTGTGTTTTTGCAAAACAGCAAGATCAGATTGCTGTAATTTCACACTGTATTTCCAACAAGATACCTCTAACATATAGCTTTAAAGGTCATGCTGAAATGCAATGTAGGAAAGATGGAAGACTGATTCTTTGAAACAATACTGAGGGATTTTAGCTCAATCCTAGTCTTACATTTCTAGTTTACTATTTAGTGCAGAATATATTGTTACTGAATGCTCAGTAAGGCATAAGTCCTACAGAGTCACTAAAGGGCAAGTCTTACGTTAACTTGATTTAACAAATTAATAATGCTTTTAAAATCACATCTGGGGCAAAAGGAAAACAATCCAGAAATGCTAACATTTTATATTCTCAGGTTTAGTTGAATTTGAGTTTTCTTTACACATGTCACATTTTCCTATCTAGTAAGCTGTATAATCTTGTATAACTAGAACTTGACATTGGATAGATACTTCTTAGCATTTTTTTTTTTAAAAAAAGACTGAGCACAAATCTCCAGGGAACAAAGTAGGCTTTGGGCAAATAAGGACAGTCTATGACATTTTCAGTGTTATTTAAATGAAATTAATAGTAGACATAACTATTTCAAGTCAGTGGATGGCGAGGACCTAGACAGAAGAAAATGTCTAATAATGATAAGTAATGGGTTTGTGTGGCTGTGCTGTTGGCATTTCAGATGTGCATTTGCTCAAATTTAGGTCCCACCAGGATAAGATAAATGAGGCTTACTGATGCCACAAAGCTCTGAGGATCCAAACCTATGTATCTCATAATTGCTTTTTAGCACTGATTCAAACAAATCCTTTTGACAAAGTAGAGCTAATCCTTTTGCTCACCAAATAAAAATAGTCTGTAAAATGTAGCAGGAATGAGACTAAGTAAGCCCTTTAAATGATTCAGCCCCCCTCACATCAGGAAAAAGTGTTCAGAAAAATGTGTGGTGTCTAGCAAGGGCTGTGGAGTTTATCATCACTCTCATTTCTAATTCACAACAAGGTACTGTTTATATTTGGCTTATTTCAAATGTCCAAAAGGCTAAGTTCGGCAGGAAATCCCAAGAAAGTCAAAGAAATATCCCAGAAGAAGGAAAAAGGTGAACAGCTTCTGTATTACTGACAAGAAAATTAGGTGGACACATCCATGAAATCCCCAAGAGTCAAAAGAGGTTTTATGTATTTTTCACTCACAAGAAAATAGGATAAATCAGATTTACTGACTCTTGTAATTTTTGCCTGATTCTTCAGCTATTTAGTGCCTCCTTCCCGTCAAATATTCTATGGTCTGGTAATGGTAGTGGATGGCAGAGGATACATAAATGGTTCAGAAAGCAGCGCAGATCGAAATCATTTGCATTTTGCTAGTGGAAGCAGAGAAAATGATGCAATAATTTACGTAGGACATCTGCTAAATATGTGACCTTCAGCATTCACCTGTTCAAATACGCTCCTGCTGATAATACAGGAGTGGATATATTTATTTGCGTAGCCAATTAAATATATACAAAAGCATGGAATGATTTACTTATTATATTTTATTTATCAAGTTGAGATATCTCCTATCTCACACTCAGAGATAGGTACAATTCTGATACAATTCTTTTAGTGATAATGGAATAGTGACTGAGTGAAGATTTGCTAGTACAAAATTTGATGGGGAAATACAGTGAAGCAGGGAAAATAAATAAATACTTGACAAAGAGGAAAAACAGAAATATGTGTTCTAGATAAGGAATTATGCATCATCACTCACGGTGACATAGAAAGAAGGGTGGCTATGTCTCAGGTAATTGCTTATGTTCAGAATATCATTCTTTTTAGGGGGGAAATGCCAAAAGATAGGGATTTTTTTTTCCTTAAAGCAATTTGTGACCTGCCTCCAAACAAAAGTGTAGATGAAGCCAAATTAGTTGGGCCATTAATCACTCTTTGGTTTTTTGATAACAAAAGCTTTGAAACACAGGTACTGTTTTCTACTGACTGACCTTCCCAATCACCCTCCCCCCCCACCCTTTCCTCCCAGCAGCTAAGTTCCACTCTCTTTCTCTAGGCAATATGACAAGTTGCTTGTCCACCTGGTATTAGGACTGTCAGGTTTGCTTGGAAAGCGGTAAAATGCACCTGAAGGTTACGAGGAAACTAGCTGGAGACAAGAAGTCAGGGTGATATTCAGTGTCACTTCTTGACTGCATTTTAACAAATACCCATAGTCACCAAATTAAACCAAAACAGATTTTAAACCAAAGCCAGGCAAACAGTAACAATAGAGAATGCTTCTAAACCAGGCCACACTATTATTTGGAATATGTCAATATGGTCAAAGTTGGCAAAGAAATGATGCAAATTTAGTGGGGCACGTGAACAAAGTATGAGACCAATTTTTTTTAAAAGAGGATAAGAGTCTACAAAGTTTTTATTTATTATTTCATAAAGCTTATTTTTAGTTTGCACGACAGCTTTCAATTTAGTATGATATGAAATCAACATTCAAAATGAATTCTACAGGTTATAAAAAAGAAATTTGAGTTCTACCAGCTGCCCACCATGAATATATCTGCTTTTGGAACCTTACCAAATACATTGTGTGATCTATTGTCAAGAGAATTGTTATTGAGAGGTTTCCATTTTAAGAAACTCTATCTTAGTATGCAAAGTTTAGCCTTGCAAAGTTTGTTTATATTTATTTGCCTTCATTACTTTTATAAACAACTCAGTGTGTTAAGTATACTAAATATTCCTCCCTCCTCCTGAGGTGGTTTTCCTGAGTAGACTGGACAGTCTGCTTCAGATTCAATCCCCAAAGGGTGCCCAAGAATGCATTTTAGTGTGCCAATGGTTTTTTTTTTGTGGAGTTTTGGTCATAGAGACATGATCAAATAGGCATATAGACATGTATGTTTTCCATCATTATGAAATATGTTGTATTTATTGCTAGGTACCCAGAGTTGCATTTTGATTCGGCACCTATACAAATTTACTGAATGAATGAAGTGAGTAAGTGAATGAATGAATGAATGAATGAATGAACATGCACCGAGGTGAATGTGGTGTGAATGCAGTATTTGTCTACAGCACCTTCAAGGAGCTGCATCTTTTTCACACAATCCCATGGCTGCTGTATCCTGAGCACATTTACAAGAGAGCGAACCTTTCTGAAATCAATCAGACTTACTATTTCTCAGCCTAATTTCAAAATCCTTTTGCAAGGGACTTTGGCAGGAGTGATCGATCCTTCCCTCAGCATGTATGGGGATGAGAAAGAAAGAGAAAAAAAAGAGAGAAGAGGATGTCAGAAGGAAAAAAAAGAAAGATGTCAAAGAGAGAGAGTAGATTGTACCCAACCCATGTTTCAGTCCCTCCCACCAATAGATGATCATCAAGAACCAAGAGGATGTGGGCTGATGTGCGGAAAGAAAGAACATCATTACGTACCAGAGAATCTCTCTTTATACTGTATGTATCACTCTGGACTACCAATTGTGGTCTCACCAGCTCAGTTTTATACACATTAAAAACACACTTTATTCAGTCAATTCTAATTTTATCATTAAAAAAAAACATGCTAGGAAGATGTTGTTTTCAAAGTACTTTTTCCACTAATCTCTTAATTGTGGTGCCTACAGTAAAAAAGCCTTTTTGTATGAATGAGAAGCATTAGGTTTGACCCCCTTAAAAGTTCCTCAGAGCGATGAAGAAAGTGCGCAGGATGTGTTTAATTTTTCTGTTAGGATTTTGAGGTGTACGTTATATTCCCATCAATATGGGTGGGAGCTATTCTGAAAGTCAGAGATATCCTATGGTTAAAAAAAAAAGAAGCAAGTATGTTTCTCAGTGACTTTTTCAGGGGATAAAAAATTAACACCCACATCACAGAATGTAACTGCAGTGCTGGAAATTCCACAGCAACCACAATCCTGATTGTTGTCTAGAAGAAAAAAGGAACATTCTGTGGCAAATAACACTGCTTCTTTGTTCAAAGGTATGAGTTTCTCCCCCTCTCCCAATGACAGAGAGGATAAATAAATACAGCAAGTATGATGAATGACTATCATATGCTAAATAGCAGAAAATGTTAGCTTTCTGATTAAAGGAGAAAAAAACCGGATCTCTCAGGCCTAGCTTTAACATCATTTCTGATAGATAGCAGCTATATTTCAAAATACTTACTTTGACAGCTGTGTGCTTGAAACTGCTTTATTTCTCTTTTTCTTTTCCAGAAGAGAGAGAGAGAGAAAGAGAGAACAAACAAAACCTCGACTTACAGTGGTGGAGGTACCCTGAAAACAAGGCCTTTTTAAACACCCAAGAAAAACTAGGGTATTCTAGCAGAAAAAAATATAAGCCTCAATCAAACTGTATTGTAATTTATAATATATTTATATTAAATGCACTTTAATTTAACAAGAACCTTTAATAAAACAAGATTTTTTTAAAGTGAAGTTCATCGGCTTTCTTTTAATACTCTTCACTAGTTCTAGACAAATAGAGCTTCAAGCAACATTGTAAGACTTAAATGATTTCCTGGGGCCAAAATCAACCTCAACCACATGTAATGAACATTGGAATCCAGGTGGGGGGAGATAGTTTAAATAAAAAAAGAAAAAAGAAAATAGCCCCAACCTTTTGATTAAAACTCCACCCCTTTCACAAGTGTAATTGTGATTGCCATTGTGATCTTTTTAAAATTATTATTACCCCCGGAAATACCTTATCAAGGGTTCAAATTGATGGACATTGCATTCCAACAACAATTGGATAGGTGTAGATCTCTTCCTCTGAAGAATTATAAAATGGATCTTGAATCACAGATGATCCTATGAAGCTCATTTCCCCCCCCAAAGTAAGATATAAGAGCGTAAGATTTTTCTGGCCAGGAACTCCCTTTGACCATGGTGTACCATGCTGGAGACTGTATATAGCACCAAAAATTAAGCAGCATAGAACAGGGGGCCGGTTGACATTGTGGCACCTTTCAGACACATCCCTTGTGCTAAATTCTTCCTGTTTGTGGGCTCCAAGAGGAGCCAAAAGCCACCCTGTAGGAGTGGTGAAGCAAAGAGGGGCACCCTGGTATGCCAGCAACCAGGCAGCACAAACAAGCAAAGCCCTATACACGGATGCAGGCAGCATGCAAAACTATGCCCCCTCTGGTCCACAGAAAAAACGATCCCTAGTGCCCAAAAGGTTTGAGGTCGCTGGCATAGAAGAAAGAGTGGTTTTGATTTAGTATATTAAATCAAGATCAGTGTGTTGTAGCGTTTAAAGGTTAGAATGAAAGCAGTTGGATTTTAATCCTACCTTCAGCCTTGGATGACTTTGGCCCAATTATTATCTCTAAGAACAAAACAGGTCATTGGCTACCAGCAGTACCTCCTGGTAGCCAATGTAAATGAAAAATACATAGGATATTCAGTGTCCTGGCTGAAAGGGAGGGGGCCCTGTCAGGGAGAATAAAGAGACATTTTAATTTAGAGTCTGTTCAGAGAAGCAAATGTCTGAGATCAAATCCTTAGGTCTATATCTGCCATTCCAAGGGAAGGCAGACAGTCTGGTGAGATAAAATATCTGTTTGAGTCTATCCATGAGTGGTTCTGGTTGCTTGCATAAATATAGGGAAATTCCCCTCTTCTCTAAAAGGAATATGTGGTAGAAATGAAAAAAAATCTATACAGTTATGGGATATAATTTCCCATAATATCTGTATCGCCTCTGAAACTTTAAAGCAAACTGAGGGTAATTTAGGAATATCCTGAGGTTATACAATTTGCTGTTGCTTGTTTGATTGAGAAAAGGACAAATTGGGTCAAACAGTTTAAGAACCACTAGCATAAAAGAAGGTGGACTATTTTATACCATTTTGATAGTTCAATCCAACAAAGTAGGTATGAGAAAAATAAACTGAAGAAGGAAATGAGATATTTACTGCCAAGTGATTCTGGGCACAAGGCAGGTTATAAATGTAATTAATACAATTAAATAAAATAGAGTTGTTAAGATTATTCTTCATGTCCTTCAAACCCTTCCATTCTTCCTTATTAGAAACTGAAAGCTATACAGAAAATGTTGGAGGACCACATGCAATGTCTTGAGACCTCAATTATACTAAGTGAAATCCCAGATCTACGAGACTCAGGCTTATAGTTATAATAGCAACTCCTACTTTTCTTTGAATGAGTTATGAGGAAGATCTGCTAGTAATATATCAAACTTTCATGTAACATACATGCACGTATCTCTGCTATTTATATTTGTAACAAAGTAAAATATAAGAACTGTTTCTATCACTTAGCTAAAGATAAATTATTTTTTTCCTGCATTTAGGATTAAATTACTCAATAAATGCTTTTATATGAAATAAACATTTTAAGTCAGTGGTAGAACTATACTTCTTCTGAAATGAGCAGCTAAAGACACTCTATTAATTTTATGTATGTAAACACACAGCATGTTATTCCTCTTCCTCAACCCATTCAGAACAAATACGACATAATTTGTGACAGCAAATTCTTAACTAACATTGCTCGAATCTGTGTCCTTATTTAAGAACCAGTTCAAGCTAGCAAAAAACAAAGATAAATGTTTCAATTTCCACAACACTATTGAGTTCTTCTGGTATTATAGAGTAGCTTTGCCTTCATCTATATCTTACTACAATGTTCTGCTGACTATGAGGAACCATCTCTCATCTTGTTCTAATTCAATCTCCTTTTCCTCTTGATTAGAACAACCAAATCTATTACCTCCCAAAGCTGATACTGAATTTGCCTTGCTTTCACAACAGCTATCCAACAAGCTTGAATATGAGTTGTGATCACCTGCTTGAAGCACATCACCTCAATAATTCTCAAACAATAGAATATGTCACATGCACAGCTGTAACTCACGTACAATTTCATGACTTTAAACAACATAAACGTTGACCTAGCGCTATTTATATAACTGCAGTTATTATAGTGATAATTTTAACAAAAGTCAGAGCAAACTTTACAAAGGTTTCAGACCAATGATTATTGCTACACTTTGTTAGGCCCTTTCTGGAAGAACAGGAATGACATATACTATGAACAGCATTTCCTTCTGAAAGGTTTACAGGTTGAGGAGCTGAGGAACTTAGCAAAACTCACTCCTCAGCATTTTGTGTACACAGTAGGGCCAACAAAAGCTCAGAGCAATGATGAACGAGAACAGAGAAGACCTCCTTTGGAAGCTGCCGATGTTGCATTAAGGAAAGCTAAGGATTTACAGTATTTACATTGTTTTAGTTAAGCTTGCACTGGCTATCCATCACAAAAACCTCCATGCTTTTAACACGTTGTCCTTTCTTGTCATCCATCTATCCCTCTTTGAGTCAACAGACCAAAGCTAAAGTATTGAGCTAGAAAAGGGCAAGAACATTTTTCATACTCCAGCTCTACCTTCTCAGAGTAAAATACACATGGCTATAAATGACAAAAATGTTACATTTAAAATGCATTACAAAACAAATTAACAAGACTTATTTTTTTTCAAAACAGGGGTTATATCAATTCACATTTCTAAAAACCATTATTATATGGTTTATTGGTTTTTTATAAAAAACATGCTATGTAGCTTTTTAATTCTATAATCAGAATAAGTAGATGGCAGAAAAAGACTGAACATACCTGAATAAGAGAAACGTTGTATAGACTAAGTCTGAAGAGGTAGTTCCTGTGTGAGCAAGCAGATGAAATTAGGGAAGGTTTAGTCAGAAAAAATATTTTATCTGAGTTTAAAAAAAAACCACAAATATTATACCATCATAAAGCAGAAGTTTCTATAGGCACTGAATCAAACCTGAAGGATCGAACAATTCCAAATATATACTGCTTTATATTAGCTGGTTTTTAAATGAATTATGTAACATAAACAAAACTCTGAAAGGCTCTATCCTGTTCTATACAAAGTGAAAAGATAAAGGTTTCCCCTTTCTAGTTGTGTCTGACTCTAGAGGACGATGCTCATTTCCAGTTCCTAGCTGGGGGAGCCAACGTTGTCCAAAGATGCTTTGTGATCATGTGGCTGCTATGACTATATGCTGAGGCACAGGGAATGCCATTACCTACCCACCGAAGTTATACTATTTTTTAATTTGCATTTGCATGCTTTTGAACTGCTAGGTGGGCAGGAGCTGAGACAAGTAAAGTGAGCTCACCCCATCACATGGTACTTGGATCTCAAACAATAAAATCATGACAATAAATTAAGATTATCACTATGTATAAAGAACAATTTCCCCTCCCAATATAGCAAACAGAAATCTCTGATGCTTTAAGAATCATTCCAATTCCATACTAATGTGTACCCAAGAAACCTGTAGATCTAACTCAGGGTTCACCACAACAGTCAATATTGATCTCCAAGGTTTGATGAGATTATCCATTATTATGATTTGTCATACAGTCAGTCAGATATTTAAACAGGGTTTGGTATTTTTATCCACCAATCAAGTTCTTCCCAAGGACTCGGTTTGGCAGAAATTGTTTTTAAGTGTTAAAAGTACTGTTGCAGGATATAAGCTGTTCCATGGAAAGTTGCCTTTTGTAATTGACTGATGGTGGTTTTGTCATACTGATGACATTCAAGTCATGCTCCATATGTTCTGGGATTTCACTCAGGGGGGCTATTCTAGTGGTACTATCTTTGCTTTCTTTTATCACAGTTGTTCTACTTCTATTTGCAAGTCTTTATATTTTCTGGTTTTCTCCATTCTTTCTCTTCTCTTCTACTATCTCCAGGTACTGCAATGTCCAATATTCAAACTTTTTAAAAAATCTTTCTCATCAACATGCTTATTATTTAAAGTATCAGTTATTAAATTATATTCATATATTATTATTTGGGGGTTTGAAACCTCATCAATAAGCTGAAGAGTCCCATTTAACAGTCTACCAAGAAATACAAAATATAGCATCACTACATCGCACAACAAAGACAGTATTCAAATATTAGAAAAATTAAGGAGGGGCGAGAAGCAGAAGACAACAGCATTCTTTACGTCAAGTACACAGATGGTTAACATATGAAGTCCGCTCTATTCACTAATAAAATGAATATTAATGACTTGTCACACAGAGACAGCTGCTACAGGACGTGATTTAAAATGGCTCCAAATATTAAGTATCTTCCATTCATAAAAACCACACTATATGTTTGATGTGGAAGATCCACAGTCAAGTTTTCTTAAAAATTAAACAGGCAAGGATGTGAAAAAAAGAACATCTAATTTGAATGTGGACAGCAGTGCTGGAAAAGAGTGCAAACCTTTTCAAAACCATCAATTACTTCATACACACACACCCAGAGCCTGGGCTCTTATATCCAAGGCTGCATTTTCTCCCTTCAAAGCACATATGAGCTTTTGGCAACAGCATTTAGATGGAAACCATAGCACAAGGAGAATAGAGTTAAAATGTCTCAACTGCAGATCTGAACGTCTTTTAATTACTAAGCTAAAGATGATAGGAAATTCTACCACAAGCTGCTTGTTTCACATATTACTTAATTCTACAATAATTAACATTTCGTCGGTCTCCCTCTTCCTGATCTTCTTTCTCTTTTTTTTTCTAGAGACAAGAAAACTCTACTTAAGCAAGTGCTGGATATTGTATTACAAAAGAGCACGGCTGTGATTTATGAATCCAACTTTCACCCTTGGGATTTCAAGTTCTAAGCATATTAATTGCATTTAAATTGTAGCTGGGCATGTAGTCAACCCATCCTGCAAACTTCTCTCCAACTACTGCATCACATAATTAATACACCTCTTTTGCGCACTGTATATTTAAAATTTTGTGTTTGTCTGCTTTTGTCAATTTGAAGGATTAAAGACTTGATTTCTTCTGAATGATCATATACAACTGGTCTAAGTCAATGATTAAAGTGTTGATCTATGACAGTGATGGGTAAACTTTTCTGGACCGAGTGCCCAAAGCATGCGTGTGTATGCGAATGCACGCACACACGTCCAAACCCCCAAAAGCGTGTGTGTGTCTCACACATGTGCATGCTCCCTGCCCCTGTGCACGCTCCCAACCCCCATGCATGCGCACATGCCCCTACACATGCTCCACTCCTGCGCATGCACAGTAGAGAACTGAAGACCAGCTGGCTGGTGGTAGACGGATGCACGGCAGAACTGAACCCATGCCATAGGTTCCCCATCATGGATCTAGGATTTAAATTGAGACTCACTGATGGAACCTATTAGCTGACTTTGGGACAATGACCTATAGCAATGGAATTGTCAGAAAGCATTTTAAAAATGCTAAAACTATGTTGGGGTTTGGGCTAGCTTATTTCCAATTTTGTTATGTTTGCATGCTGTGAATGGTCATGTGGAAATTGCATAATTTCCAGACTAAACCTGCTTTTCTTTCTCTCTTGAGCTCTTTTTCCTGTGCTGTTAGCACTTCAGAAGATAAAAAGATTGATCTAAGGGAGTATACATTCTTTTCTTTTATACTTTGAATATAAATTGAGACAGGATTTATTTTCTAACTGAGTCTGGGGTAGCAGTGCTATATTGTTTCATTTGCTTTTTTGGAGTAATCTATTTATTCCTACAAGGGTCAATCAACAGCGGATCTCAGCCCTTAACAAAATGAAACCAGAATGTATCAAGTAGAACAATTTTATTCCAAGCTCAAAAGAATTCCTTTTTTGTTTCTTATATTCTTAGAGTTAAACCATGGTTTGGAGTCATTTCTTCTGTTTTTTGCATTCTCGGAGTTAAAACATGTCTTACTATGCTGTATGAACTTAGCCGGTAAATAATTGGTTACTTTAGTGGTTTTTTTTTTTTAAAGAAAATTTCAGGATGGTTTATATTTTACTGTACAGCAAAAAAGCCCCTTTGGGACAACCGTGACCTGGATGATTGAGAATCTTCACATACTTTTAGCTATGCACTTTGGGATGAGCACTTCGAATGGTGTGGGAGTATAAATGGAAATTGCAGACTAAAGGAACCATTTGAACTTCAGTTTGAGATACAGACAACAGATTCAACCCGAGCAGCCTGCACCTGTCTTCAACAGTGAAAGGACACAGGGAAGAAAAACATTCTCCACACCCATTTGCACTTCTCAGATGACCCTGAGGATACAGATAACCTCAACGGCTTTCTAAACCAATGCAAATGACCAGCTGTCTGCAAGGAATATAAATCCTTCCATTCCTCACCATCCAGTCAGAGCTGAAGAAACTTCTTGGATAAGAAGTGAATTGTCTTCAAAAGAAAAAAAATAAGAAAGTCCAGTTGCCTCCTGAAAAAGCCCCTTTGGGATAACATGACCTGGCTGATGACTGATAAACTCCTTAGACTTTTATTGTACAACAAAATTTGAATGATTGGTCTGGCAAAAACTCCAAGTCACATATGTGAAACTCCAAGTGCATATCTGTATGCACTCATATCACTGTGTGTCAGTGTATAATCTGATTACTGTAGTGTCCTTTCAGCTTCTCTAAGCATGGAAGTTTTTGCCATTACCACCGAAGCTATATTTTCATTATTATTCAGCATATATTCTTTTCTTTTTATGTGAAATCTAGGAGCCTACTTTGGTTAACTAATATACCTTTGGCTTTGAGCTTTAATTCCAATTCATCCGGGGATTTTCCATACACCCATGTCTTGCTATTGCAAAAAAAAATATTATCCTGCATAATGTATCAAGCTAATAATATGCTTTTCTTGGGAAATGTGACCATTTATAAGCCTCAGGTCCCAGTTCACTCTAAGAAGGGCAACAAGAGGTTTAGAGGTTTGCCTTCCCATTCTGGTTAAGAATGCTATTTAAATGCATTGGTTTTGGATAAGTCATATAAAGAATTTGGCACTAGCAGCAGCCTGCCTCCTAGAAACATTGTATATTTTGAGTGAATAAATAATGCTAATATTACAGCTAATTCTTCTATGGCTATTGGATGAAAATACAGCAGAACTTATAAAATATCAATATGGGATAGCATACTAATTATAGGAAATAAATGCAGCTAACTTTTCTGAACGAAATAGATAACACATTGACATTAACATGGTATGTATCTTCAGCTCTAAAAACTATAATTTTTCACCAAATTTCTAGGGAAATTTGGGTTCATGTTTATAGGAAACTGATAAAAAAATCTATGCAAACAACACACACACACACACACACACACACCTCCCTCTGCCATGCCATCCGATACTATCTTAAAATTCAGTTATAAGATAAAGGAAACCATGTGTAATGCTTCTTACAGCATGCAGAAACTATGTATATTTATAGGGTTATTGCTGGAATTCCAACTTTTAAAATTGGAGATGAAAATTGTATCAAACTAGGATACCTTCTTCAGAATGTCCTTTTGCAGGGATGCCATTACATTTCATAATTGGCTCATCTGAGACCTTCCATACATGTGGGAAACCTGCAGTATTTTATTTATTTGAACATAAGGTTATTTATATGCTCCTTCATCAGATCATTCTTAGTTGTGTAGATCTGTAAAACTTTCCATAAATTATTAACTACTACATGTAGCCCTCGACTTATGACAATTGGGACTGAATATCCATTGTTAATCAATGTGATTGTTAGGTGAACCAAGCCTGATTTTAGGATATTTTTTGCCTTGCACATTAAACAAATCATGTGACTAGTAAGAAAATCACACAGTTGTTC